GCATTGATGAATTTTTTAGATTGGGTCGGGTTAGAGTCACCAGTACAGCGTTGTTTGTTATTGTTACAGTATGGAACGGTTTTTAGACAATGTATGTCGGAATATTTAAATCAATACACGAACTATGTTTTAAAATCAGGATAGTAAGTGCAAAGCTAGAAAACAGAACAATATAGATGGAATCTAATTGGATGATGAATAGCCATATACAAACTTTCTTATGAATATATGTTATTCCAATATGTGAATTCATTTATGTGTTCACTTTGCTTATGCTGCTCTTTTACCCACTTAATATAAACAGGATTTTGTTGTCGAAGGAAAAACAAGAAATATGTTTTGTAATTTGTAATAAAGATGTGCCTGTCTTTTACTGTTCACAATTTGTTGAACAATGACCTAAAGTTTTCTTGATGTGCATTCTGCTACAGGACTTCATCTGTTACGTACATGTGGCTTACGAAATATAGTGGCTGGTTATTTGGTTTCACTACGTTTGTTGCTCATGTACCTATTGGTATTACTATTTTGCAGGCTATAAGAGAACAACTAGTGCAACTAATGTTTGAAACGTTCAATGTTTCAGGCTTTTATGCCTCTGAACAAGCAGTTTTATCACTCTATGCGGTAGGACGTATCTCAGGATGCACTGTTGACATTGGACATGGGAAAATAGGTATGCATTTTAGCCAATAAGATTATAACTAACCTTCATTGTGTAGTAAACTGATGCCAGAACAATGAAATGAGGAAATAATTTTTTAGCCATTGCTCTACTTCAAACCATTCTTTTGATAATCATTCCAACGTGTTTCAGATATAGGAACATGTGAGCCTTCCATGCATTGGCCATTCTTAGGAGATTTTTCTGGTTTAAATTAACCTTCTAATGAATTTATTAATGTAGTTATAATTTATCTACTTGAAATATGATTCTAGCTAATTGATGTTTGTATTGACTAAATCGTCTTAGCGAAGAAGTTTCAATACCCAGTGTTCCAAAATTTATCATCATATAGGTTGATCTCAAACTATTACTGGACATGGCTTTTCTGCTGGGATAACTTGATCTGAAGTAACAATTTATAGAAAGATGTGTTTCCTTCTTTATAACACTTTAGAGACTGTTAGAGTGGACATTTGTTCAGTGCTGTGCCTACTCCATTCCAACATGCGTGTTATGATTTAGATCATGGAACTAACTTCTCGCTTTGCATGGATAAATCTGCATATTGCCCATCCCATATCCAGCATTGATGTTGTCTTTTCAATCTTGGACTAACTTCGCTATACACATGAAATGATAACTGGAGAAGACTGAAATGTTTTTCCCTCTTTATTTCTTTTCAATCTTGAAACACATTAGGTATTTTTGTAGTGAGGCCATCTTAAATGGCTGGGTAGAGTTTGGAAGTCTTGTTATAGATTCCTCACTTTTAAGCTGATGCAGCAACTCTTTATATGTTTTTTTTACATATTAAAGGTCTTAAGTCTTCTTGCTAGACTTGGTGGGTGGTTTGTGCTCATAAGATCTTATAGTACTGCCTATCTACTGGAGTTGATTAATTATTTATACAGAACTGTACACATGTCAAAAGTTATTTTGACATGTTCCATCTGATTTTGACAGATATTGCACCAGTTTGTGAAGGTGCTGTTCAGCACATAGCCTCAAAAAGGTTTCAAATTGGGGGAATTGATTTGACTAACTTACTAACACAAGAACTTCGCAAATCCAATCCCTTAATGAACATCGACATTTCTGAGGTTGAGAAGTTGAAGGAGCAATATGCACGGTGTGCAGAAGATCAAGTTGCCTTTGAAGAGACGCAAAGAACATGGCCTAAAGAGACGCACACCCTTCCTGATGGTCAGGTTTGTTGTTAGTTGATCTCCAATCTTACTGTCATGAATCTGCACCTTAAGTTTCATCTTCTTCACTATCTCCCCTTTCTCTCCGTCCCACCTTAGGATTATGTTTTCACATGTAGTGTTTGTCATGTGTTGCATGGTGTGCACGGTTACATATACTCCTGTCTATAAATGTCTCTCTCCATTAAAGTTGTTTTTCACAAAGGTATTTGCAGACTATAACTATTGGACGGGAGGGCTATATTGTTGGGGAAGCTCTATTTCAACCATCAATTTTGGGCTTAGAGGAGTATGGGATAGTTGAGCAGCTGGTTCGCAGCATCTCAAGCGTTTCTTCTGAGAACCTTCGTCAACTACTTGAAAATACCATGCTTTGTGGTGGTACAGCATCTATGTCTGGTATGAATTTGTACTCTATGGATGTTCTATTTTCGGAATTTTTTTCTCATGATATTAGTATTGGTGTAATAGTAGCTCTTCAGATAACTTGTCCATTCTTGCAAAATTTCTCTTTGTTCATTCTTGCAAAATGCTCGATTCTACATAATTGAAGAATGAAAATTAGAACATTTTTAACCTTCTTTTTTGTTCTTACAATTTCGGTGCTTCTACTCTTGACACAAGAAGCACTACAAATAGAATAATTATTTGTACATGGGTGACCCTAATCATATCATCAGTGAAAGTAATGTGGCTTGACTCAACATGTATAATATGGGAAAAGAACTTCAATTCATTCAATCTATCTATGATTTTCGTTACCATCTCTTTCCCTCTTTTTATAGACTCCTCAATTATAAGAAGAAAAGAAAAATAAAAAAAAGTAACCCTTAAACTAGTGTAATCTATTCAAGTGAGAAATAAATTAAAATGTTCTACATCATCCTTTCTTTATACTTGAGAACTGATACTGAAGTTGTAGCTCTAACATTACCAATGCAACATGCAGTGCCCTATGAGTGTTATCTTGGAGTCAGGGTACTTATACTCCAATTATCATGTGATCATAAAGCCCAGTTGCCTCAGAATGAACAAAGGCTAACATGTTTACTTCCTCAGGTTTTGAAGAGCGGTTCCAAAAGGAAGCTAATCTATGCTCTTCATCCATTCGACCATCACTTATTAAGGTATCTGCTACACCTTTGTTCTCTGTTTCCACCTTTAATGAGGCAAAATTTCGAAATTCCATGACAGACTACCTTCTTCTAATCCTTTGTTGTTCTTTCAGCCACCAGAATACATGCCAGAGAACTTATCCAAGAATTCAGCCTGGATGGGTGGTGCTATATTGGCTAAAGTTGTTTTCCCTCAAAACCAGCATGTCACCAAGGGAGATTATGATGAGACGGGACCGGCAATTGTTCACAAGAAGTGCTTCTAGTTGTAAATTGCCAGCATAGTATAGGCTGCTATCTACTAATCCGCATACGTGCTAATCAAGATTATTCTATTTGTAGCACTTATGTTTTCGCAATTACTTTGGCAATTCTAGAATGTAGAGACAAGCATCTGATTCTCTTAAGCCGTTTTCCTCCTTTCAGGTAAAATATCTTATGGGAAATGAGTGTGTGCCAAAAGGTAAAGCTCATTCAAGATTTGGCTTGCTCTTATGAGACTGAACGAGTGTACAACATTCTACTAATCACCCGGAATGGGTTACATGCTCAAATATTTAGCATGGACTAGGTATTATGTTTGCACATTGATTTTTGTTGATTTAATCTGCATACTGTTGGATGATGCATTTTTGTTGGCTTGTTTATTCTTGTTGATTTAATTCCCAAGATCGTATTGAAAAAGATAAAGATGAAGGGTTGTGTTCGGTTACTGTTAATCAATGGAAAATTATGTCAGTCAAATTTAATGAACATGGATCTTTATGATTTTTGTTGTTGTTGTTGTACTTTTCGATGATGCATTGATGCTCTTATTTTTTAAAACAGAAATAAGTGGTTGTATTGTTTTGTATAAAGCTTTTGACCTCCAAATAGTTGGGATATTATGAATTATCATTGCTTTTAGGAGAAATTGATGGCCAGTTCTATGTTCTTGTGTGCGTTGATCATATGGGAATAATTTCAATGGTCTGCATGTACAAGTTTTTAAAGAAAATTAGAAAATTAGATAGGGGTAGTTAATTAATTTGACATAACACCCCGGATTCGACGTAACACACCCCCCGCAATGAAGGTCTCGTGCGGCACATTGCCCCAGAACAAGCATTAACAACGACATGACACGCGCCCATATCGAACGCACCTAAACGATCCCCCCGGCAGAACCCCCATCATCGGCCAACACAGGGGGAGGCGTTGACTGACACCTCCCCATACCCTGCGGAGGTTCGGCCCTCCATGCAACAACCGCAACTGCGACAGACGCTATCAGAGGTACGAGCCCCTGCCCTGGCAGTGTGGCACATCAGGTAACATCAAACCCGCTTATAAATATCCCCTGATTCCTAACGGAGAGGGGGGGGACTCTCTCACCCAACACTCCACTCCACATCACTAACTCGATCGTCGGAGGGGTCGGGCCGAGCCACCGACCCGACCTGTGTGCAGGCACGCGATCGTAGCTGAGCCCTCTCAGCATGGCGGAGCTTCCCAGCCAGGCCCACTGCGTCCGCCATCTCAGTAACACGAGGAGGAACCACGTCTGAACCCAGCCATTTGGAGCCTTGAACCAACCGCGTCGACCCCGAGGTCACGGCTAAAAAGTCACTTACCGTAACAGATTGGCGCTAGAAGGAGGGCCCCCAAATGTCGGGTGACAAGCGAATCCACCTCGGCGAGTCCTCAATCGTTGGGCTCCCCGCCTCGGGGGAACACCCCCCACGGGATGAAGCTCGCGACGAACGCCCCGCAGCGGTATCGGAGCGCTACTGACAACTGTTCAATGACCCAGGCTTGTCACCTCCCGACGGCGCACCCGCCGGCCCGTCGTCGGCATCGCCCGAAGCTTTTCACGACCTCGCCCACCAAGTCCAGACCCTGACCAGCATGGTCCAGACCATCATCCCGCTCGTCTCCCAGCGGACCCCTCCGCATGTGACCCAGCCTTCGCCGCAACGGGAGACCCCTGTCCAGACTCACGCACCACTCCCCGAGCTACCCGTCTCACCTCAAAACCCCGCAGCTCGCCCGGGGAGCCGAGAAGCAGAAGACACGGCGAGCCGACCCGAGCCCGAGGCTCCGACCGCCGACTCGACTAATGCCCTACGAGCTCAGCTACGCCTCGTCAGTCAAAGGCTTGACGAGATACAACAGGAAGTCCGCAAGTCAAAGGGAGAGCTCGGGGTGGACGGACGCCAGGGATCTCCGTTCACTCCCGAGATACAAGATCAGGCGATCCCGTCACACTTCCGCCTTCCCACTCTGGATGCCTATGACGGCGCCGCCGACCCGACAGACCACGTAGTCGCTTTTCGCGCCCAGATGGCGCTATTCGGGACTTCTGACACTCTGATGTGCAGAGCGTTCCCCACAACTCTGCGGGGACCGGCCCACACGTGGTACAGCGGCCTGAAACCAGGAACCGTCGCCTCCTTCGACCAGCTCGCCAAGGATTTTGAGCTTAACTTCCTGGCGTATGCCCGGCCCAAGCCGTCCATGGCATTGCTCCTCGGGCTCAACCAGAAGGAGGACGAGCCCCTCTCCCATTTTGTGAACCGATTCACGACCCAAATCCGTGGATTGTCGGACGCTCACCCCTCTTTCTTGATGCAGGCATTCATGATAGGCCTGCGACCCTCCAGGTTCTTCTGGTCGCTCGTGGAGCGACCCCCCGTCGCGGTCCCCGAGATGCTCCAGCGTGCCAGTCAGTTTATCGCCGCGGAGACTTGGATGGCTGGAAGACGGGAGGAACACAAAAAGGTCAAGACAGAACCACCCCGACAGCAACAGCCCGCCGCCTCCCGGCGAAGGTTGGACAGACCTGACCCGAGGCCTCCTCTTCCCACCTTGAATTCGTCCCGGACTGAAATATTCCTGCACGAGAAGGGGAAGGGGCTCCTCAAGGACCCTCGCCCGATGAGGAACCCGCGGGAGCTCGCAGACCGATCAAGATATTGCCGATTTCATCGCCGGCACGGGCACGACACTGAGCAATGCTACGAGTTGAAGAGGCAAATCGAAGAGCTCATCCTCAGAGGACACCTCGGCCAGTACCTCCGGCCAAACAAAGAGCAGTCGCCTCGCCCAGAGGGCCCCGTCGAGCGGCACATCGATGTGATAGCCGGGGGCCTCGCATCAGGAGGAGGCTCCACGTCAGGCAGGAAGGCGTACGCCCGAGCTGCCCCCGACGAAGCCTCGGGGCACGAGCCGGAGCCCGAGATTACCTTCCCAACCGGAGCGGCCGAGCGACCCGACCACGACAACGCCTTGGTAATATCCGCCACGGTAGCCAACGCGCAGATGAAGAGGATCATGGTCGACACAGGGAGCTCAGCTGACATGCTCTACTTCGACGCCTTTCAGAAGCTGGGCTTGGCCACGGAGAACCTGAGCCCGATGCGCTCGGCGCTCACCGGTTTCACAGGAGACTCAATATCCCCCCTGTGGGCCATTACTTTGTCCTTGACTCTAGGGACCCCGCCGAAGTCGAAAACGGTGATGACCACTTTCTTGGTGGTCGACCTCCCTACCGCCTACAACGCCATACTCGGCCGGCCGACCCTCAACAAGGTCAGAGCGATCGTCTCGACCTACTACCAGACCATTAAATTCCCGACTCACGATGGGGTCGGGGAAGCCACGGGAAGCCCCCGAGAGTCCAGGCGGTGCTACCTTACCGCCGTATCATTGGGCAAGAAAGCTAGGACCGAGTCACCCCTGACAGATCCGCGGGAAACGAAAAAACTGACTCCTCATCCCGAGCCGAGGGGGTCCACCGTTGACATTCCTTTGATGGGAGTCCGACCAGACCAGACCGTGAAGATCGGATCGGAGCTACCAGAGCAGGAACGGGAGCAGCTCGTCGGTCTCCTACGGGAAAATGCCGACGTCTTCGCCTGGTCCCCATCGGACATGACGGGTGTCAACCCCGAGATCGCGGAGCACCACCTCAACATCCCACCTAACGCTCGCCCCGTGAAACAAAAGGCCCGGCGCCAGGCCCCTGACCGACAACGTGCAATACAAGAAGAGGTGGACCGGCTCTTGGCCGCGGGCTTCATAGAAGAAACCAAATATCCTCGGTGGCTGTCCAATGTAGTCCTCGTGAAGAAACACAATGGAAGCTGGAGGATGTGTGTTGACTACACCAATCTCAATGACGCGTGCCCTAAAGACTGCTACCCCCTCCCGAAGATCGACCAGCTGGTCGACGCAACGGCCGGTCACGCGCGACTCTCTTTTATGGACGCCTACTCAGGGTACAACAAGATCAGGATGGCGCCCGGAGACAGAGAGCACACGACCTTCCTTACCAATCAAGGCGTGTACTTCTACAAAGTCATGCCGTTCGGGCTGAAAAATGCTGGGGCCACGTACCAGAGAACGATAAACAAGATGTTCGCCCATCAAATAGGAAGAAACATGGAAGTCTACGTAGACGACATGATCGTAAAAAGCCAAGAGGCCAGAACACACCTTGCCGACCTGGCCGAGGCCTTCGCCACGCTACGCAAGTTTGGCATGCGGCTCAACCCCACAAAGTGCGCTTTTGGCGTCACCTCTGGGAAGTTCCTCGGGTTCATCGTGCACGAGAGAGGAATCGACGCTAACCCAGAGAAGGTCCAAGCTATAATCAATATGCAGTCTCCCCGGACGGTTAAAGACCTGCAGCGACTCAACGGAAGACTTGTCGCTCTGTCTCGCTTCCTCGCTCGATCGGGCGATCGCTGCCTCCCATTCTTCAAAGCGCTCAAAAGCCCGAAGAACTTCCATTGTACATCAGAATGCGAGGAAACTTTCAAACAAATAAAACAGCACATGGCCAGCCTCCCCCGGCTCGCTTCCGTCTCTCCGGGCGAGAAGCTGGGCCTCTACCTGGCGGCCTCCCAGCATGAAGTCAGCTCCGTCCTGGTCAAAGAAAGCTCTGGCCAACAACTCCCGATTTACTATGTCAGCCACGTCCTAAGTGGACCTGAGGAGCGTTACCCGCCAATAGAGAAACTCGCGCTCGCCCTAGTGCTCTCAGCTCGGAAGCTGCGCCCCTACTTCCAGGCACACCCGGTGGAGGTCATCACCGACCAACCCCTTCGGCAGGTCTTAACAAAATTTGATGTTGCAGGACGGCTCCTCAAATGGGCGGTGGAGCTCGTCGAACATAATATAAGCTACTCGCCCAGGACCGCCATCAAGGCCCAAGCGGTAGCCGACTTCATTGCGGAGCTAACGCAGCTGGAGGACGTAGATCTCGAGCAGGCTCCCGAAGCTTGGACCCTACACGTCGACGGCTCGGCCAACCCAAAGGGCGCCGGCGCAGGACTAGTCCTCCTCGCCCCCGATGGACGCTCGTTCGAGCGATCCCTTCGCTTCGGATTCAAAGCCACCAACAACGAGGCGGAATACGAGGCGCTCCTAGCAGGGCTGGAGCTTGCCCTCGAGATGCAGGTGGCCGCAATACACGTCCTCACT